CCTCCAGGTGGGCATTGTTTGGATCTGGCTGCTGTGCTCCACTTCTTTCTGCTGCAGGCGTTAGAACCGAACCCTTTGTGTCTCTCTGGGAAGATGTTCTGCTCCTGAATCAGCTGGGTGGGTCTTGCTTCTAGCCTCTTTGCAGGGAGTTCTGCTGAAGGGTTCCCTGCTGGGCCTGCAGCCTGGGTCGAATGAGGATCCATGGGCCCTGGATCGCCGGGACTGCGCTCCTGGTCTATTCAGGATCCCGTGGCCTGGGTTGTCTCACTCACTTGCCGGGCCTGCGCTGTGGGTCTATTCAGGATCCTGCGGCCCCGGTCGTCTCACTCACTCGCAGGGCCTGCGCTCTGGGTCTGTTTAGGATCTCGTGGCCTGGGTTGTCTCACTCACTTTGTTTTTTAAAAGAGAATTATATATTTATAGATATAAGCTTGGGTATAGAAGTGTGTACCTAATATACCTTTACTTTTACAGTATATTATTTCCTTTCTTCTTCTTGCAAACCGAAGGTCAACTTTCATTTGTTGTGTTTTTTAAGAAACAAAGTAGCATTTATCTGTGTACAGTATTTTAAGTCTTTTTTTTTTTTTTTTTTTTTTAGGGCACTTATACAGGCTGCTTCTTGCCTATTTGATCTGCCGCTGGCTGATATGATCGATGCAGTTTTACTGAAGTTCGACAGACAGTAAGTACGCTTTATACACATCTTGGCTCTCGGGTGTCCCACATAGGCAGGACCTAGCAGAGTCTCCACATCCCAGCGACCTTAACACCACAAATCATACGTGAGAGCGGAGCTCATAAAGCGCCTTCCTGGGAGTCGGCAGAATGTCCAGGAGCTTCACTTTTGTCTGCCCAGGCAACAACTTTTCTGTAGTTTGGAAGGAGCTTCATCATTTTTGTCCCTCAGGTTCATAGAACCATTGCTACAGAAGGGTAAAGCTCAGAAGCCAAAGGGAAATCCCAATTAACACTGAATATATTACAATCTACGTAATCTGATCTGTACCAGGCAGTAAGGCCAAGTGACCTGCTTTGTGACACTGCAAGAATTAAAATGAAAACCCAAGGTCCATTATATTCTTCCTTACAAAAGTCTAAGCTGATACCAAGAGATTTTGTCCTTTGGTATGGCTGGAGGCATTTAGAGCAGTTATAACATCTATGGAATAACAATTATTGTCCTATATGTGTCCTATTTTATGGATTAGAGAAGAATGCATTGTTTTAAGGTAGATGAACATTCTTTATTAGTTCTTGGTTTTTCATGTCTATCCAAAAAATTGTTTCCTCTCCAAATGCCTGGCGGTGTTCCCTGTCCGCATAGCTTCTTTTTTGTCTTAGTGCAGTTTACGTGGAGCCTTCTTTGCCTGCTGCCTGGTCTTTTCTTCCAATAACTCCATCCCTCTTTCAGAGACTAGCTCTTATATATGTGCAGCAATGAAAGAAACTCACAGCACAGACCCTATCTCCTTCACCTTTCTGTCCTTCATGCCTGGAAAAGTGGTTGGTTCACAATGCTTTTGTTTTGCACATAAATAAGTTAAGAAGCAGCGACTTCAGCAAATCTCCGTGTCTCTGTGTGTGTGTCTCATCTCTTTGGGTGTCTGTCTATCTTTCTCTCTTTTGGTGCTGGGAATCAAACCTAGGATCTAATCTCTGCTAAGCTTGCACACTACAACTGAACTGCACGTCCAGCCCTCAAGTTCTTTTAGAACAAAATAGATTACAAATAAAATGTCTCAAGCAGTTGGAAAGGGAAGAATACCCATGTTCACCAAATACCAGTACACACAAGCACTCTATGCCTATTTGATCATCTGGGTCTCACAGCAGCCTTGAGTGTAAATATTAATTTTGGATGCAACAAATGCTTATTGATCGTCTGCTGTGCATCAGGCAGTAATGCCAGGGATACGAGACAGCAGGCCTGGTAAGGGGCTCTCCAGCTCCTGGATGTTTTGTCCCTTCTCAATCACACCTCCTGTGTGTGTGTCCCGTGGTGCGCTGGGGCTAAATGGCTACCCCAGAACACCTATGCTTCCCGCTGCCACAGGGCAGCTACGTCCTTGGCATGGTCTGCTGCTTTTATTTCAAGCCTGCTACTATCAGATGTGCTCATGATCATAATTACAAATACTTGTTTATTTATCTGGTACTGTGCATCCAACCCAGGATCTCACACATGCTGAGCAAGTGCCCTGCCCCTGAACTTGCTACCTTTCTGCCTTGGCCTCCCGAGTAGCTCGGATCACCAGATTGTGCACTGCAGCCGGCTTACAATTACAATTTTTACTTTTTAATGTATCTGGTACAGGGTCTTGCTATGCAGCTGGACTTATGGTAATCCTCCTGTTTTCAGCTGCCCCAGTGCTGGGATTACAGGTGTGCACCACCATGCCTGGTCTTGGTGGCCAGCTCAGCACGCCCAGGTCCAGGGCCAGCATGGCATGTGGTGCCGGGGATCGAACCCAGGTGTAATTCTATACCTGGGTTTTAATTACTCTTAGTTTATATAAATTTGAGGTATGAAAGTTACTTTTACAAAAACTAAGCAAAAAAGAATGGATAAAGATAAGTTGTACCCAAAGTTACCATCAAGTGTGAGGGAGAGCCATACATGTTTTAAGAAAAGTCAGTAAAATCTAAAAGTATTCTGTTCCCAGAGTCCCTTGTGCTCTCTGCCACAGGAGTAGCGGCTGCATCAGAGGATGAGCCGTTATTTATGCAGGAAAGATGCCGCAGCACTTTCCTCAGCTCCCCCGCCTGAAAGAAAAGCCAATGAAGGGGGACGAATGAGCACAGTTAGTATAGAGTGACCTATGGGCCTCCTGCCGTCCTTTGTCGGAGTGCCAAAGGAGGGCTTTCTGCTGACAGGGTCCTGTCTTTGCGGCACGTGTAACCTTATGGGGAAGACGGACAGGGATTATACTGCCATGCAATCGTGATTGTCCCTATTTTCAGGAAACCAAGACACGTCTGTGATTAGCTTTCCTAGTGGAATGCACCCAGCAGATTAAGCACCTGGGAATCGAATGCAAGCTCCTATCACTGAGGCGAACTTCCTTCAGCTCTCTGTCTTAACCATCTGTTCTTTTCTTCACTTTTGTTTCCTTTTTGCTCTTTTTTGTCTTTCTCTTCCTTATTTTGCAAGGATTGGGTCACTAGTTGCCATATGACGAGATTTTGTTTTGCTCAGCCAATGCACTTACCTTCTACCGCATGACCCTGCAAAAGGCAGGGTTCTCAGCCAGAATACCTTAAAGCAGCCCTTCGGGTGTGCACTCCAGCTTCACCATGCCCTAATCCCATGCTGTGGATGGGGTTGTTTGGTCTCCTAGCTCTAAAGTAGCGGGAATAATATGTTCCTCATGGCATCACTGAGGGGCTTAAGTGAAGCACACACACAGCACGCTTAGTGCGTAAGAACACACGGGGCTCTCACTGCTCAGAATTTAAGAGGGCAGCTATGTCTTGTCTTTGGGGTTTAATTTCTCCATTAAGATATAAGTTCTTCTAGTGCTATAATCCCATAAAACTAAGGGGCTCATATTTTATAATTACTGTTATTTCTATTATTTTTGGGGGGTTGGTACTGGGAATCAAACTCAGGACCTTGCGTGTACCAGGCCAGCACTGAGCCACTGAGCTGCATCCCTGGCTCCTGGTTTTTACTATTATTTACTTAGTGTCTAGGAGGACTTCACCCGAGGCCCTAATTCCACGGACACACAGGTGTGTACTCGCACACGCACGCACGCACACGTCCTGGTGTGTGATGAAGACTCACTGCTTTTGTCTGTTCCAGGCGGCCCATTTCTGCAGTAGTTTTTGGCTTCAACGCGTTGTTTACCAAACCTGCTCGAGCTTTAGTTCCGGTGCTGATGCTGGCGAGGTTGGAGAAGTATGACTTCCGGAACCCCGACAGCAGGTAGGCCAGGGAGGCCTTTGAGTCACGCTGAGGAAACGCGAGCGCGCACGCAGCCTCTCGTGCTGGTTACTGAACTACTGACTTGGACTTTGGATGCTGTCAGTCATTAGCTCAGACCTCCGGGAAGCTGCAGTCCAGATTAAAGCGCCTGCGCCCCGAGCGCCGTGTGCCGTCGAGATTAAGTGCGCTGCGCAAGGCTGTGTGCCAACCACTGAGCTGCGCATTGCTCGATCTAGGTCGTTCTCTCCTTCTTTCTTAGCTCATTTCACCAGGGTTTTTGAGGACCTGGTACTAAGCGTGAGGTGCAGAGATCCCGGGAATGTAAGTTGAGCAAGAAGCCTTTGAAGGCCCTGAGTAGACAACGGAGCTGTGGCGAGCGCCGCACCCGGAGTCACGCGCAGCTCCGGAAGGCAGCGGGGAGATGCCTGGTTCGGTCTGCCTGTGCAGCAGCGGGCTTCTGGGGCAGAGTTTTGGTGGCTCCTGCGCATGGAGCGGTGTCACTCCAGGCAAGGGGAGCGGCACAGCACCCTGAGGAAGGAGAAGATAGCTCCCTGAGCGGAGACAGGACGCAGCCCAGCTAGGCTTTCCTCGAGAAGCAAAGCAACCGAGCGCTGGGGAAGGCGGCCTTTCCAAGGAGGATAATTGAGAGGGTGACGTTTGAATAAAGACCAAAACACAGGCGAAGCTGGGCGTGGTGGTGCACACCTGTGATCCCAGCACTCGGGGAGGCGGAGGCAGGAGGATCATAATTCAATGGACAATGAATAACTTAGTGAGACTCTGTCCACCCAAAACAAAACAGAACAAAAACCAAAGGGACAGGCATGCTGCTAAATGCCAAGGCCCTGGCTTTTGTCCCTAGTGCCACAGGGTAGGACAGAAAGACTCTCTGGGAAAGTGTTCGTCGCAGAAAGCAGGGCAAGCGCAGGGGCGATAGCTCAGTGGAGTAAGTGCTCGCCTGGCAAGCACAAGGTCCTGAGTTCGATCCCTTGTACGGAAAAAAAAAAAAAAAAAAAAAAGGCAAGCAACCAAGCAAGCAGGGCAAACGCAAGGGTGTGAGGGGCGGCATGCTGCACATGTTAGGGCTGGCGAGGAGGCCAGGTCACCAGGCCTTGCCCTATGGCTCGCTTTCACTGTCAGCTGGCTGGAAAGGACGCAGTGGTAGTGTCAATTCATTGATTGGGTGGGGGGTTTTAGAGCAGCTGTAGTTTACAACAGAAGTGAGCAGAGTGTGCACGGCATTCACATTCACTCCCACCCTTCCCCAGGGAAGCCTCCCCTGTTCTCAGTGCCCTCCACCAGAACGGCATTTTGACACAGTTGGTGAGCCTATGGGGATACCGTGCCGGGACCCAGAGTCCGTGGTGGGCACCGGGCTCACTTCTGCAGCTGTACGTGCTGTGGGGCTGGGGAAATGCATGGCGACATGGGCCCACCCTGAGGGTCCCGGAGTGTCCTCGCGGCGCCAGCCGTCAGTGGACTCCGCCTGCGCACCCCGCCTTGCCCGGAACACCTGGCAGCACCGATCTTTCTGTTGCTCCACAGCTTTGTCTTTTCAGAATGTGGGATGGCTGGACTCACACGGCGCAAAACACTTTCAGATTGTCTTCTTTTACTCAATAATATGCACTGCAGTTTCTTACGCATCTTTTCATGACTTGAGGGTATGTTCTTAGCACTGAATAATATATATTTTTCTTTTTTGGGGGTGGTGGTCAGGTATCGAACTCAGGACCTTGCCCTTGCCAGGCAGGCGCTTATGCCTCTGAGCTATCTCCGTAGCTGAGCAATATTTTATCAACTACGCATAACTTAGTTTTTTTATCTGTTTGCTCCCTGGAGGGCATCTTGGTTGCTTCCAACGTTTGGAAATGGTGAATAAAGCTGCTATTACCATCCATGTGCGGGTTTTGATGTGAATATAAATTTTCATTTTATTTAGGGCATGCCAACAGGCACCCTAGCTGAGTTGTGTAGTGGGAGCGCGATTTGTTTTGTAAGAGAACGCTGAGCTGCTTTCTGCGAGGACGTTCCGTCTGCATTTCTGCCAGCAAGGAACGGAGTCCCTGCAGCTGCTCATTCAGCCAGAATTCCGTGTTGTCAGTGCCCTGGTTTTGCCTGTTCTTGTAGATCTACTGTGGTGTCTCATTATTTTAATTTGAAATTTCCTAACTTCAAATATAAGACACAGGAAGCACCTCCTCATGTGCACGTCTTCTCTTTGTCCGCCTCTTAAGGTAAGGCGTCTGTCACAGCGTCTTGCCGGCTTTTGAGGCAGGCTGCTCGTTCTCCTCCACGGAGCCCAGGCTGGGACATCGCCGCTTCCAAAGAGCCCACCCAGCGTCTCAGAGAACCGTAGGTCTCATTTTGCCCAGGTCGGGGAGGACACGACCGCGGGCCATGAGCGGTCCCTCCAGGACATGTCAGCAGGTCACAGAGACCGCGCCGGTGCACCACGAGCCCGCCGTTGCCTGATCCGGCCTCTCAGAAGCCTCCCGTAAGCGCAGCGACACTCTAAGCCCATGGGGGCCACCTGTGTCCTGCTCACACGGAGAGGTCCTGCTCGGTGTCAGGGCGCCGGCCTGGCCTGCCCAGTCCTGCCTGCGCCGCTTTCCCGCTCACTTTCATGGCTGAGCTTTAAGGGTTGTCTGTGCATTTTGAGTAGTCCTGGCCGGCCATGTCCTCGGTAGTTCTTTTCTCCTGCTCTGTGGCTGTTCCCTTTCTCATGATGGTGTCCTTCCCACAGCAGGGGCCTTGCATCTGAGGTCACTTTCACAACTTCTTCCACAGCCTGCACCGTTGGTGTTGTGTCTAAAGGCCACCGCCACACCCGGGCTAGCCTGGGTTTTCTATTATTCCTACCTAGTCTGTAGACTCGCATTTTACATGACGGCATCTCTTCAAGCAAGGTGTTTTCATGGAGGGTGGAATGTCTGAGCCTAGATCACTCCTGTTTTTGCAGTGGAGGTAGAGACTGCTCGTTCGGGCACCATCTTGCTGAAGTCCCACCTCTCGCCACTGCGTCGCCCGCTCTCGGCGGAAGCTGAGCTGGTTACGTGTATGTGGTGCGCTCTGGGCTCTCGGCTCCACTGCGCTGACCGGTCTGTCCGTGGACTCGCCAGTGCCACGCTCTTGCTGACCGAGACTTGTAGTAAGTCTCAGGGGGAGCAGTGCCCAGCCCCCTGCTTTGTTCTCCCGTAATGTCATCTTGGCTATGCCGGCGCTTTCTCCTCTCTCCTAAACTTGGGATCACTTGGTCAACATCTACAAAGTAACTTGCCAGGATTTTGCCAGAGGCTGCATAGCATCTGTCGATGAAATCAGGGAGAACTGCCGTCTCGGCGCCTTCCGATGCAGGAATGCGAGCTGGCCCTGCATTTGCTTTAGTCCTTTAATTTCTTTCACCAGTTTTTATAGTTTTCCTAAGTATATCTTGCACATGTCTAACACTTATACCTAAATATTTCATGTTTGGCAGCACTAACGTAAATGATACTATGTTTTAAATTTAGAACTCTACCTGTCCATTGGTAGTAGATAGGTAGCATATTGCTCTTATATGTTTATCTTGTATTTTCTGAATTTAGATTCAACTGGTTACATTTTACATTAGTTTTATCACATACTGACCAATATACACATCTATTTGTCAATGTTTGCCATTTTTTTCTCACAATGTTATATTATGATAAATATAAACAGACAGGGGCTGGGGAGGTAGCTTGGCTGTCTAAGTGCCTGCCTGGCAAGTGCAAGGACCCAGGTTCAATCCCCACTACCACATGCTGTGTTGGCCACCGAAACCTGGCATGGCGGTGCACGCCTGTAATCCCAGTGCTAGGGAGGCTGAGACAGGAGGATCACTGTGAGGCCAAGCTGCATAGCAAGACCCTGCGCCAAAATAAATAAACACATGAATAATTTTTAAAAAATTAGACAAAAAAGAATAGAGCTGAGTGTGGTGGCACACGCCTGTAATCCCAGCACTCGAGAGGCTGAGGCAGGAGGACTATTGCAAGCCAACCTGGGCTACAAAGCAAAAACATGTGAAATGCCAGCCCTCACTCTCAACTTTCCCTGCTTCAGAGCCTCAAGTGAAGGCTTCCTTGGATTTCATAGTGGCTTTCAGATTTTGGGTTGTCCATCCAAGAAGGATGTTTGAAAGTTGTTGTATACTGCTAAGGACTGTGCCCATGTTCTGCCTGAAATACCCTGACTGGGGGCCGGGAGACGGCTCAGTGAAATAAGCGCTTCCCTGGCAAGTGCAAGGGCCTGAGTTCAATCCCCAGTTCTGACCCCCTCAAAAAAGAAAAGAAATACACTGACTGTTTATGAAAAGTATCTTTGATAAAGCTGGGTACAGTTTGGCTGGGAAAAAGAAAACTAAAGCCAGACAAATCTTGTGTTAATATTTTAATATCAGCTTAATATTACTAACATGCCATTCCTTTCTGGGCCAAGTCTACCACTCTCTTGCTGTTCACTCGAGTCCGTCACATGATCGCACGTCTGCACTGGGGCAGGCTTCTGCAGTGTGTTCACATTTCACCTGCACGATGAAATTTGCTACCTGGTGTGAATGAGAAGCTGACCGTGTGTACCATCGCTCAGGCGCCCCGCTCTCTATAATCAGCATTACTGGCTTTTCCTTTTTCGGTGTTGGAACTCGAACTGAGGACCTTGCACTTGCCAGGCAGGGCTGTACCCTGAGCCGTACCCCAGCCCCTAGCATTACGGTTTTCTCCACAATCCACTAAGCTTGCTTGGAGGAGGGGCCGCACCTGGTCCTTTAGGTTTAGCACAGGAAGTGCTCGCCAGAGCCACTGAGCGAGCGCCTGCCCAGCGCGCTTCCTGCTTCTGCCCACGGCAGACACTTCGCCTTCTCGGCAGGACCCGAGGCTTGGCTGACTGGCGCACATGCGTGTGCATGCACGCACGCACGCACCCCTGCTGGTCATGGTGCACCCCCGCCTGTCTACAACTCCCCCACGAGTCTCCTC